GACAGCCAATTTTCAACACACTAGTCTGATCAATCTTGTTAATGTGCAAGTAGAACGATGTACCCTCTCTGCTCAATGTCCTCCAACAATCCCTGTTTCACCAAGAGTAAAAGCCTAACCCTAACCCTTATAAGGCTCTGCATCACAGAGCCTTCTACTTCTGGTACTTTTCTGCCCTCACCTCCTGCTACACTGACTCCACTCCAGTCACTTGGAACTCCTGATTTTCTTCACACAGGCAAGAAATGTTCCTTCCTCAGGGCTACTGCGCCCTTTCCTGTGCCCGCAGTGTACACTATAGGAGTTTAATTTCTATGGATAGCATCACATGGCTTCTTTTGCCTTTTACTAATAGGAAACCTTAGCAAGATATTAAAAGGTTGTTGTTGTTGTTGTTATTAGATGCTGTTGAGTAGGCACATACCAACCTTATGCACAACAGAATAAAATGCTGCCAGTTCTATGCCAACTTCACCATCCAAAGATACGTTTGAGCCTATTGCTGCCGCCATTGTGCTAACCCATATCATTGGGGGTCTTCCTCTTTTTCACTGATCCTCCACTTTACCTAGTATATCCTTCTTTAGGGATTGGACTCTCGTCATAATATGTCCAAAGTATGAGAAACTTACTCTGGTCATTCTCACTTCTAAATACATGAATAGAAAGGAATTTTCTGAAGAAAATAATGATTTGACTTTAGACATATTAACTTTGAGTCAACAATAGGATACCCAAGCGGGAACATCCAGCAGGCATTGTACATGTAAACGTGAAATCTGAGAAAGTTGTTTGAACTTTCAATGTAGATTTGGGAATCATGAACTACAAATGACAGTTAAAACTGTTAAGCCTCTCTCCTTTTATTTCTTCTCCTTTTATCTCTTGTATGATAAAAGGTGTTGCATTTCACACCCTTGGAAATCTCCCTCAGATCAGGGTGATGATGGGATTAAGGTGGCACTATAGGTTAACGCAGAAGAAGTGCAGCCAGAGTGCTCCTTGGAGGTCAGGATGGACAAACTTTGTCTCTCATACTTTGGACATATTGTCAGAAGGGACCAGTTGCTGGAGAAGGATATCATGTTTGGTAAGGTGGAGGATCAGAGAAAAAGAGGAAGACCCCCAGCGAGATGGATTGACCAAGTGGCAGCATCAATGATGTGGCAACAGCAGTGAGGTTGGCCCAGGATCGGGCAGTGTTTTGTTCTGCTGTGCATAAGGTCGCTATGAGTCAGTACCAACTCGATGGCACCTAACAACAACACAGGTTAATGCGCTAGACTGCAAGGTTGCTTTGAACTACAAGGTTGGCAGTTCAAGCTCACCAACCACTCCTCGGAAACTCTATATTGGATCACTATGGGTGGGAACCTATTCGACGGCACTTAGCAACAACAAGAATTATCCCACTCTTAATCCGCTTATAATTAGTTTATTTTAACAAATCACATCATGGGGGATATCTTAATAAATTGCATCTCAATGGCCAAATCACAGAAAATCAAGTCAAGTTGACACAAAGTATTAGTTATCACAGAGGTATTATAAAGATTATCAACTGCAAAATTATCAACAGATTAGTTTAGACTAGTGAGGGACTGAAAAATGGTTATTGGTTTTGGCACTTTTCTGCTAGACTTGCTATTTGTTGTTGTTGTTGAGTGCCATTAACTCAGTTCCGACACATACTGACCTTGTATAGAGTTTCCAAGGAGCAGCTGGTGGATTTGAACTGCAATCTTGAGGTTCAAACTGACCTTTGGGTCCAGTGCTTATCCTACAGGTCTCAACAATAAAGCATGTACACATTGTCCAGCAGAGTGCCAAGCACATTGTAAGTATTTTATGTTGTTGCTGTTAAGTGTCATTGAGTCCATTCGGAAGCATAGTGACCCTCTATAGGGTTTCTGAGGAGCAGCTAGTGGATTTGAACTGCCAACCTTGTGATTAGCAATCTAGTACTTATTCTACAGCGCCATACCAGGATAATTTTTTTTGTAATTTTTTACCTTTTTCAACTCCCTTCCTCTAAACACATTTATAAAAGTTCTCACAACATACATAGTTAATACTGAATATCATTTTTATAAAATGATAAATTATATAAACTTTATTGTAATGTATTATTATAATTTAAGATTTTAAAAGTCAAAATAGTGATTTAGAAAATAAAGATTCTCCTAGGTTGGATGAGAAAATGGCCACAGTAAACAATACTCCATAGACTATAGATTTGTAGATAATATTCTGTGGGTTCTTACTGAGTGAAACTACTTTATTGTCATCAGCTGAGGTTAAGGAAATTCCTATCAAACAAACAAAAATGATGACCATTTCATGGAAAGGGCGTAGCCAATTGGAACTTTCCCCAGAGGTGAAATGGTTCCAAATTTTTAAGACTTTTTTTGTGTGTTGATAATCTTGGCGCTGATGAAATCTATAAACATTTGGAAAGAGAACTTTTACCATTTTTTAATATTTTATTTTTGGTGAAAATATACACAGCTATGCCCACTCCATTTCAACAGTTTCTAGAGCTAATGATTTCGGTTGTAACATGGGCTACATTCTTCACATTCTTGTTATTTCTGTTCTAGTTATGCTGAATTTTACACTTTTAAAAAGCTATTGTGCATTTCGTCTTATACACGGAGGATTCAAAAAGTTTATGGAAAAATGGAATTATAAGATGATGGAATTTTTCTTACATGGACCTTTTGACGTCTCCTTGTATTTGTAGTTGCTGTTGTTAAGTGTTGTCGAGTCGATTCTGACCCATAGTCACCCTGTATAGGGTTTCCAAGGAGCGGCTGGTAAGCTTGAACCACCAAACTTGCAGTTCAAAGGACTTTGCAGTCTGACGCATTAACCCACAGTGCCACACCAGGACTCTTCTCCTTGCATAGATCATTTAAAAATAAAATGTTATACTCAAATCTGAAAATATACATAGACCAAGATGCAGTTGTTCCAACACAACAAGGGAACACTGAATAGTTTAAAATGAACAAAGATGTGCATTAGAGTTGTGTTCTTTCACCATACTTATTCAATTTATATGCTAAGCACAAAACTGAAGAAGCCAGATTTTATCAAGAAAAATGTGGCATTATGTTTGGAAGAAGGCTCATTAGCAACCTGCAATATGCTGATGATACAACCTTGCTTGTTGAAAGCAAAAAGGACTTAAAGTACTTACTCATGAAGATCAAAGACCACAGTCTTCAGTATGGGTTGCACCTCAATGCAAATAAAACAAAAAGCCTCACTACTGGACCAATAAACAACAGCAAGATAAATGGAGAAAATATTGAAGTTGTAAAGACTTCATTTTGCTTATATCAACCATCAACACTCACGGAAGCAGCAGTCAAGAAATTAAACCACGTTATTGCATTAGGCAAATCTGCTGCACGCACGAAACTGCTTTAAAATGTTCAAGAACAAAGATGTCAGTTTGAGAACTAAGGTGCGCCTGACCCAAGTCATGTAATCTTCAATAACTTCATATACATGTGAAAGTTGGAGAGTGAAGGAAGACCATAGAAGAATTGATGCATTTGAGTTATGGCGTTGGAGGAGAATATTAAAAGTATTATTGACTCTCTTCAGCAAGGCAGCCAAGCGGCAGACGCAGAGATGCAGATCTTTGTGAAGACCCCAGACAGGCAAGACCATCACTCTTGAGGTGGAGCCCAGTGACACCATGGAGAATGTCAAAGCCAAAATCCAAGACAAGCAGAGTATCCCTCCTAACCAGCAGCGTCTGATTTTTGTTGGTAAACAGCTAGAGGATGGCCACTGTCTCACACTACAACATCCAGAAAGAGTCCACCCTGCGTCTGGTGCTGCGTCTGCGCGATGGCATCATTGAGCCTTCCCTGCACCGGCTCGCCCAGAAGTACAACTGAGACAATATGATCCGCCGCAAGTGCTAGGCTCGCTCCACCCCTGTGCTGTGAACTGCCGTGGGAACTGCCGCAAGAAGAAATGTGGCCACACCCACAACATGCAACCCAAGAAGAAGGTCAAATAAGGACACCTCTCTGCTGGCTCCCCTACCTCCCGGTAGTGGGGTTCTTCTGAGCCCCATGGCTCTGGGCCCTCAATAAAGTTTCACTTTCACTGAACTGGGAAAAAAAAAAAAGTACTATCGACTGCCAAAAGAACAAACAAATTTCTGTTGGAAGAAGCATAGTCAGAGTGTTCCTTGAAAGTCAAGAGACAAGACTTTTACTCTCATACTTCAAACATGTTATTAAGAAGGGCCAGTCTCCGGAGAAGAATATCATGCTTGGTGAAGTGGAGCATTGAGTAGCAATGGGCTCAAGCACACCTACATTTGTGAGGATGGCCCAGGAGCAGCCAGTATTTCTTTCAGTTGTGCATAGGATTGCTATGAGTTGGAACTATATCAATGGCACCTAATGACAACAACAACCTACCCTATTTCCTGCCAATCTTGGGAGTCATCAGCAGTTTGCCATCTAATTTGCTTCCCTTGAATTTATTTGTTTCTGTAACCAGAAGCTGGTCATCTCATATACATATAAGTTTTACGTGTTATGCTTCTCTAGAGAAACACAGCATAAGCTGTTGTTGTTGTTAAGTGCTGTTAAGTCTGTTCCAACTCTTAGCGACCCTGTGCAAAACAGAACAAAATATTGCTTCATCCTGTGACATCCTCACAATTGTTATACTCAGCCCATTGCTGCTTCCACTGTGTCAGTCATATTATTGAGGGGTTTCCTCTTTTTCGCTGACCCTCCACTTTACCAAGCATGATGCCCTTCTCCAGGGACCGGCCCCTCCTGATACCATGTCTGAAGTATGAGAGATGAAGTCTCCTGATCCTGCCTTCCACAGAGACTCTGGTTGCACTTGATACAACACAGATTTGTTTGTCCTTATGGTATGAATCAGGGCAATCCTTTCAAAGGTTCCTTGAGTTTCAGTAGGTTCAGAAAGTCTGGATGCTTTAAGAAGAAAATATTTACCTTTTGATGTAAACTTAACAAACACAGGTCTTCCTTGGATATACAGGGCTTTCCATCAGCCTTCCGCGAAGACAGGCAAATGAGCAGATCCCACGAGCCCAAACCTCCTAGTAGTATGAAAACAAGTAAATTTGGTTAGATCTTTAAAGGCACCATCTAACTTACTTAACAAAATAATTATTTAAATACTACAGCAGGAGTTAACAATAATTTGTAATACATTCAAAAGAAAAAGTCCATTTTCAAAGCAACTGAAATTTAGCATTTCTAATTTAGCATTCCTACCATTTTTATCCTTGGCATTGTATTCTAAGAATATACAATTAACCGTCAAAATGTCTTTTAAAGATCAAATTTAAATGCTTGAATTCACAAATTTTATGAATTTATAACTTCTTTTATTTGATAATTGGGAAAAAAGAAGATTATAAAGTATTTTAAGGTAAGAAGTAACTGTGAAATCAGATCATTATAAAAAAGTCAAAAGAGATATTTTGCTCAGGGGTTGGGTATTGCTGCTAATTTTTTTAAGTCTCAACACCAAGTATGTTTTTGTAACAGTTATTACAAAGAAAATGTTGTACTAGGCAAAAGTAGAATTAAATAAAAATAAAAAAGGTTTTGTCAAAAAAGTTACAGCTATCTCACTGCCATCAAGTCGATGTGACTCAGAGCGACACGACACAGCAGCTCTAAGGCTGAAAATCTTTAGTGTACAGACAAGTGCATCTTTTTCCTGAGGAGTGACTGGTGGGTTTGAACTGCCAACCCTGTCGTTAACAGTCCAGTGCTTATCCTACTGGAACTGAATTCGAGTTCAGTTCTAGACAACTGCACCTGGACTCCAATTACAGATGGTACTGTTGAAGTCAAAATACAGAGTATAACATGGACCCAAACAAACGATATTTAAGCTAATTCACCAGGGACAAAGCTCTCTGCCAATAAATCATAGTAAATTAACATTTACATGCATATAATCCACGAAGTTGGGTTATATGAAGAAAAACGTGATATCAAGATTGGAGGAAGACTCATTAACAACCTGTGATATGCAGATGACACACCCTTGCTTGCTGAAAGTGAAGAGGACTTAAAACATTTACTGATGAAGATCAAAGAGCACAGCCTTCGGTATGGATTACATCTCAATGTGAAGAAAACAAAAATCCTCACCACTAGACCAATAAACAGCATTCTTATCAATGGAAAAAAGATTGAAGTTGTCAAGGACTTTCTTCTCGGATCAACCATCAACACTCATGGAAGAAGCAGTCAAGAAATCAAATGACGTATTGCTTTAGGCAAATCTGCTGCACAAGACCTTTTTAAAGTGTTGAAGAACAAAGATGTCACCTTGAGGACTAAGGTGCACCTGACCCAAGCCATGGTATTTTCAATAACCTCATATGCATGTGAAAGCTGGACAGTGAATAAGGAAGACCATAGAGTTATGGTGTTGGAGGAGAATATTGAAAGTGCCATGGGCTGCCAAAGAATCAATAGATCCATTTTGGGAAAAGTGCTGCCAGAGTGCTCCTTGATGACCAAGCTTTGTCTCTCATACGTCAGACGTATTGTCAGGAGGGACCAGTCACTGGAGAAGGATATCATGTTTGGTAAGGTGGAGGGTCAGAGAAAAAGAGGAAGACCTCCAGGAAAATGTATTGGCCAGGTGGCAGCATCAATGGACTCAAGCATGGCAACAATAGTTAGGTTGGCCCTGGATCTGGCAGAGTTTCGTTCTGCTGTGCACAAGGTCACTATGAGTTGGTACCGACTTGATGGTACCTAACAACAACAACAACAACATGTGCTTTTTGTAGCAACAGAAACAATTTTTGGAGTGACTTTGACCCCAAATTCCAATATAGTATTCTAAAGAAGTCAGTTAATCACAGAGATCTCCTTTTCTCTATGTCTGGACAACCTAATAAGCCACCATTCTAATTTGGTCGGGATATGCCTTGCTTGTTTTTCTCAAACCCAAATCTAACTCTCAGCTCTCATCAACTTCACGTCCACCTTCTAAGAACAGAGGAAACACATCAAGAAAGACAAGCTCCAAAAAGTTTTGGCCCAATACCTAGAAACAGCCTGCCCCGGGCCATTGAAGATTCTGGCTCCTTCTCTGACAGGCTCAATTCATACAAGAGACCAATGAATGAATGAGAAAGATATGAGGCCAGACCTAGAAAGGAGATGGTCTGGTCTGGGTCACCTTCATAACCAACCTGAGAAATGAGACATAGGAGAAAAAAAGGTCATTGGCCATGTTATTTTTTCTCAGGCCCCTGAGAGAGAAGAAGTCTCTAAAAGGCCACACTTCAGTACTTGCCAAACTTAAATAGTCAGTAAAATGTCTTTGGGAAGTAGAAGTGACCTCATCCAACCTTGGTGGAACAGAGCAGCCAAATCTGGAGGTCAAAAGCCAAGTTCCAACATTCCTCTATAAACAGATGACCAAATATCAACATGCTTAAAGCCATCTCAACAAAATCCAGTCACCAAATGAGCAAGTTTAATTCACTAAAAGCAAAAACAGGAAACATCAGTTTGCTCAATGGTCCTTTGGAAAATAGACCCATCAGTACTTTGTATCAATGTAGAGCTGTTTACTGCTGAGAAGTAGTTAGGGCCAGACATGGACTCTGGCTAACTAGAGAACCTGTGGGAATGTAGTCTTAGCTGCAGCCAGTTTCTGCTTTGTAGGACATGCACTGATGTTACTGTAGCATCGAAGGCTGAAATCTGGATTTTGTGTGCATTATGCTGACATTTAAAATGTGGCAAATACTTAATATGAAAGAGAAAGCAAACCCTATGCAGACCAAATGCAGCCCTCTGATGGCATTTGTGGTCCTGTAGTTTGCAATCTCTGCTGTGGGTGCTGCACATTTGCTTATTAGCCTTAATGCTTTCAACTACTTGTAAGTGTAAGCTTGACAATACATAGTAATTTGCAATTTGCTGAGATATAAATTTGTATCCAAAATCCTCCAAACCTGGTTTCTGAATGTGATTTGCGTTGCTAGTGGATAAGCCTTGCTTTTGCTGAGTTTCTACATTTCAATGCACTGTCTGTTCTGTCTTGTTTTGTTTTCATCCAAATTTGAAAGGCTCCTAAAGAACAAATAATGCTTCTTCTTTAAAGAATGGCCATGGGAATTTGGGGGAGAAAGTTGACTTATAATATTGAAGACAGAAATGAAGAGAAAGTGAAAAGGTTGACTATTTAAACAGGAAATAAAGTTCTAGGAGTTTGGAGCAGAAATCAGTGACAGTAGCAATAATAGGTTTAAGTAGAAATGCATTTTTCACAGCATTGTACCTTTGATGTACAAAAAAAAAAAGTATGAAATGATCGCTTAAGATTTTTCATTAGGCTCCAATTTAAGGGAAAGTTTATGTGCTATAGAGTACTTTTAAAATTAAATATTTTGACACAAACTTAGAGCTGAAAGGTATGAATGTCCAAAATTACCTGATGTTTTATAGGTTGTCCTGGGTTTATTTCTTTATTTATTTGGTATGGTTCCTTCAGATCGATCGCTAAGAGCAATGACTGCTCTTTTCTTTTGCTATTTACATTCATTTTTCTAGTATAGTGTTCCTCTCCTAGAAGGTTAATAAATTGAATGCCCTGCATTATTTAAATGTACCTTCCAGTTTTAAATACTTATGGTTGTTGTTGTTGTTGTTATGTGCCATCGAGTCAGTTCCGACCCATAGCGACCCTGTACAGGGTTTGTATATATATATAATTAGGCAAATCTACTGCACAAGACCTTTTTAAAGTGTTGAAGAGCAATAATGTCAGCTTGAGGACTAAGGTGTGCCTGACCCAAGCCATGGTATTTTCAATAACCTCATATGCATGTGAAAGCTGGACAGTGAATAAGGAAGATCCTAGAAGAATTGATGCTTTTGAGTTGTGGTGTTGGAGGAGAATATTGAAAGTGCCATGGGCTGCCAAAAGAACCAATAGATCCATTTTGGAAGAAGTGCAGCCAGAGTACTCCTTAGAGGCCAAGATGGCCAAACTTCGTCTCTCATTCTTTGGACAGTGTTAGGAGGGACCAATCACTGGAGAAGGATATCATGTTTGGTAAGGTAAAGGGTCAGAGGAAAACCCCCAACGAGATGAATTGGCCAAGTGACAGCATCAATGGTCTCAACGTGGCAACAGTAGTGAGGTTGGCCCAGGATCGGGCAGTGTTTCTTTCTGCTATGGATCGGTACCGACTCAATGCACCTAACAACAATATATATATATATACTTCCAAGTCAGTTCAGACTCATAGTGACCCTGTACAGCATTGCCAAGGATAAGATGGTGGGTTTGAACTGCTGATCTTGCAGTTGGTAAGGTCATATATATATATGGGCATTTTTAGACTGAGAGGAATATAAAACATATTCTGTTTTCAAGGTCTAACCAATACAGTTCCTAATTTTAAATCCCTCACTTTGCATATCCCTAACTTTCTTGCAATATTTAGTTGGGAATCTTTTTTTTCAATTTGGTATACCCTACAAGCCTGCCCCACCCCCGGTCATCAGCACAAAGCCCTTCTCCCTCTCTGTGTTTAAAATCCTCAGCTGCTCCATCTCTCCACGTCATCGTCTCTGCCTCCATCTGTGGTGTCACTGCTTCTCTGTGTACAGTCCCACTTTCTGCTCTTCTCCCTTGATGGTCCAGGGACCTCCGCTCCTAGGCTGAAAAGTTAATCACTCCCCTCCTTGCTACAAAATGTCTACCTTTACATTTCCAACCCTCACAATCACTCGTGATAACAATTATTCACTATTGTATCACAAGAGACCCTATCCTCATCTCCTTTCATCAGCCCCGCCTACACAGATTGGTTACTACTCAGTGGTAATTCTCCCTTCCTCCACGCCTTTTGGATCAATGTTCCCTCTTGAAAGCTTGTAAGCCAGTCACTTCTTGCCTTTGTAGCTCATTTTGGGTAGCCAATGTTCAAGTTGCCCACCCCTGTGTATGGAGGGGGTAGAAATGATGCTTGCTGTAAAGATTTTTTTCCCTCTTTTGAGCTATTGCATCCATAGGTGTAGATCAAGTTCATCAAATTGTATCAGATTA